CTAGTAGCACTATCTGAGTCGACTATGACGACGTTGATCGTGAGTGGTTTCATGGTCATGCTTGTGGAGTGTCTCTCCCCCATATCGAGGTCTATTGTTATTGTTTTTCCGGGGATGTGTCTGTACGACCAGCGGACTCGACTTAGGATAATATCTATGTGCACATTTGATGTCACGGGCTGGTGTACCTGGGTATCGGCTCGGAGCGAGAAACTTTCGATGGGCGAGGGCTCGTCTCCGTGTAGAGTTTCAGGAGAGACGCCGGTCCCAGGTCCCCTGACGTGGCGGGTATTGCTTCTTTGTACACATATGCGCAAAGCCGTTGAGCCACCCGCTCTCCGTACGACCAAGTCGAGTGCGCGTCGCGTTTTATCCAGCCCATTGACTGCGGAAGCAGACAGTTGGGCGGGCGCATTGTGTTGCATTGTATCCTTGTGACCAGAGCACTCGGAGGATGTTTCTTACATTCGGACACACGAGGCATTGCGAACAGTATGTGTAGCGCTGCTTCGAGCGTGCTAACCAGGAAGACCATTTGCCGCCAGCATGGGACAATTGTTTGAAAAGGTATCGGTGGGAGGTTATCTTCCCATGGAGAGTGGCCACGAGGGCTGAGTTCAAGACCGCTTGTGATACTATGGCGCATCTTCACGTGCAGCTCCTGGGTCCAATCACACGATACATGGAACAGACATCCTGAGTGAGTCGGCACCAACAGAGCTGGGAAAACAGCATTTCCGCCCTCGGCAGCACTGCAATTCAGGTGCTATCCCGTTTCTGGGGGTGTTGTGGCTTGCTCAGCCACAAACCGCATCCAATAGCGGCGTCGCCTTCAGCCTCACCGAAGCCGCTGAGGCATCCAAGCCGACGGCAGCCTAGCGAGCGGCCTCGAGATAAAACCAGAGCAGACGAGCATATTTAATATCTTCTTGCGCCCTTTGCCTCTCCCCATTCTCCCCCTAGTTCCTTACCTGGCTTGCCTCACACCGCATCCAGAAAGAAGTTACCTCGTCAACATCCCTAAAGCAAGCAAGCACATCATGTCCGGCGGCGACGCCTTCTATTCCATGCTCGACGGAGTCGCGAAGAAGCCTGCTAAAGCACGCAATCCGTCGCTGCTCTCGCGCATCGCATCGCTCTTCACCCGGTCCAAGCCCGGACCGCAGTCTTCAATCCTTCCCCACCGCCGGGTGGCAGCCAACTACTCCGCCGCGGAAGACCGCATCCGCGAGCGTATGCGAGCCAGAACGGCCGGGAGTCCTGTTACTCGTCTCTAAAAGATCGGGGGAGGAATAAACAACCTGGCCGGACGTTCCACCAGTCGCGTTTGAAGGGCAAGGGAAACCCCCCTCCTCTAACCCGCATCTGGTTGCCACTTAGTCTCAAGGCTCTCCAGACATGTCCATCCCACAAAGCGGCACGTATACCGGCTGGAAGAGTCCCTCTTTCTGCGACCGCAGCACCCTGGACCTCTTATACGGCTGCGGCATCACCATCTACCTCTGCTGCTGGGCGGCGGTGCACCTGAACGTCCCGGCGGACGACGACACCGTCACGACGCGAACGCTGCGCAAGCTCAAATGGATGTTCATCTGCCTCATCATGCCCGAGTACGTCGCCTGGGATGCGGTCGAAGAGCTGTGGCACGCTCGGGTCCTGGTCGGGGAGCTCGCGGCCATCTGCACCCTGCGCGATTGGACTCTGACGCACGCATTCCTGCTACAGATGGGCGGGATCTCCCTCGAGACCTCGGCCGGCGAGAAGTTCAGGCCATCTGTCGAGCACTTCCTCCTGCTCGCTAGAACGGGGCAGATCGTGGTGCCGGACCTGCGCAGGGAGGACGTCGAGGACAAGAGCAAGGCGGACTGGATCGTGAAGTCACTCGCGCTCTTCCAGATCCTGCGGTTTGCTCTAGGCCTTTTGGCCAGGGTGATCGAAGGCCAGCCCGTCAGCACGCCGGAGCTGTTCACCGTCATCATCATCATGTACACCGTCATGACGAACGCCTGCTGGTGGCACAAGCCGAAGGACGTCAGCCGCCCGTTTGCGTTTGCCACGTCGGCGACGCACAAAGAAGTCAGCGCAGCCCTAGAGACGACGGACATGTACGGCCGTTTCCGAGCACCGGGCAAGCGCATCGCGCTGACAGATTCAAACGGCTGCGCGAGGGCGAAGGGTATTCCGGTACACCTGACTTGGGGTTCCTTCCTGGCCGTCACGGCGGGATTCGGACCGCTCCACGCGCTCGCGTGGAACTACCACTTCCCCTCTGCGGCGGAGCGGATCCTCTGGAGGGCGGCGACGGTCATTTGCTCCGTCCTGCCTTGCGTGGTGGTTCCGATCCTGAGTCCTGCTGTGCGAACGAGGCTTGGGCGGCTGGGGATGCCGGTCGCTCTATTTCTTGTGTTGGTGTGCCTGGCGATGTATGTTCTCCTGCGGCTGTATCTGCTGGCTGAGAGTTTGGCGTCGATTAGAAGCGTGCCGCATGGTGTGTATAAGGTAGTTCGGTGGTCTGCTGTTTTGCCAGGCATTGGAGGGTGAAACTCGCTGGGAATCTAGAAACAATATCAAGATGTCCCGTTTAGAAATATCCGGAGGTAAGGTATCTTTCTAGAAGTAGGATTGCAGTTGGAGCCGAGAATGTGCCCGGTCAATGTCACGGCTAAGACGTCGAGCGTTTGTGATATCGACTGGGATTCATGCTGGCGAAAAGGGGTACCCTCCATCTTGTGGGTGAAGTCCAATTGCGACCCGTCACCGTGCCACAATCGCTGTGATAAACCGGTCAACGAACTACTCCGCAAGTCGACAAAGACTGCAAGTAGTCTATCAGCTGCTGCAAGCACAAAGCAATAGATCGGAACTGATGCTCGATTTGTTACGAAATATGGAGAAGTATTGTTCGTCATAGCTGCAGTCAAAAGAAACGAAGCCAAGGCCGTCCCGAGAGGAAGGAACGAAAACAGTAAAAGTGGAGTCCTCGGCTGCTAAGCCGAAATGGAAAGGAGCGTCACTGACGCTCGAGCTTACATGCGCCTCATATATTTTCGCGATCCTACCCTGCATGATAGCATCTTAGCGACTTTCTTACTCCTATTCCCTCTCTCACCAGTTCCGACACTCCTTCATCGGTTCGACAAAGTGTTTTGTTTTGCCAATTCCTCCCCTCCGCTTCCTCTCACGTCTTCGGCTCTTGGGGGCGATCAAACGACTTACAGCTACCCTAACCCGGGACTGCGATCTCACGTTTCATGCACACATGGTGGTTTGACCGCGTCGCATCAGATTACTGCAAGATTAAACACCCCGCCGATCTGAGCATTGACGGCAGTTGGGAAGGTCCGGCCACGAACGCGACTTGAGACGCCTTTGTCAATCCTCCAACTGTTCTTTTCTAGGACCAATGCTGTGAAGGCTACCTTGCGATAACCGAAACACACCAGAATCGGGTTACTTATACCGGGTTGCGCGCCCTCTTTTGCGACACCCAGGCGGGTTGGTTGATTCGATCTTCCCCGATCTACCAAACAACAACACACCAGCTCACGGAAACAAAACCGACACAAAAAATGCCACCACACACCCCCTCCCACAGCCAATCCTCCTCAGGCGGAGGCGGAGGCGGCGGCGGCATCTCCTCCCCGCCCATCCCGATAAGCATAACCATCTGCGGCGACGGCGGCTGCGGCAAGTCCTCCATCACCCTGCGCCTCGTGCGCTCGCAGTGGACGTCTGAGTACGACCCGACCATAGAAGACAGCTACAGCATAACGCGCCGCATCGACGGCTCCGTCTACCACCTCTCCCTAACCGACACGGCCGGCCAAGAAGAGTACCGCGGCATGTGGGCCAGCTCCAACCTCGGCGCCGACGCCTTTCTGCTCGTGTACGACATCACCTCCAAGGACAGCCTCGACGCGCTGGGCTACTTCAACGATCTGATAGACATGGAAGCCGAGACGCGCCTCGACAACGCCGCGCGCGCGATCAAAGCCGGTGTGCGCCCCGGACCGGATGGGGGAGCGGGGAGCGGCGCGAAGACGGTGCCGCCCGTGAAGATCGTGGCGGGAAATAAGTGCGATTTGCAGGAGTCGAGGCAGGTGCCCGCCGCGCAGGGGTTGGAGTGGGCGAGAAGGCGGGGGTGCGGGTTCATGGAGACGAGCGCGCGGCTGGAGGTCAACATCGAGGAGACGTTCGCGCTCATAGTGAGGCGCGTGGTGGAGGCGCGGCGGCTGGCGCAGATGGGCGTGTTGGATCCGAACGCCGGGTTGGGGCCCGGCGGGGTCGAGAATGGTGATGGTGGCGGCGGCGTGGGAAGGACGAAGCCGCTTACGCCGCTGCCTAGTGGGGAGGGTGAGAAGAGGGAGGTGGGCATGCGGGGGGTGAATATTGGGGATAGGGTCGGGAGAGGGGGTGGAGGGTTTTGGAGGAGTTTGAGGTGTTGGTGATCATGTGTCTGGACGGGAGGGCAACTGTGTGATGCGGAATGGCGCAGCCCTGTGGGTGACGAATTGGTTGACCAAAAGACACGGGGTCCGGCGTTGCGTTGACGAGTTGGTTTTGGAGCGAGCGAGCGAGCGAAGCGCGTTTGACGACATATCCTTTGTGGTCCTCTTTTCGGACATAGATACCTGGGCGATGCAGTGGATTGGAGAGGCTACCGTCCTGTTGAAGACTATATCCATGTGGGCAACCTTATACCGCGGTAGATATTTGCTATTTGTACATACCTAATTAATGTTATGACTTCATGCCGAATCGCTCATCACCATGCTCGCCGATTTCATCATGTCCCCGATTGTCGGTTCTGGGTTGGTTAAATGCGGACGGACAACACATGCATTTGACCCGATAGAGAAATTGACATGATATTTCGACAAACAAAAAGCTCCAACCATGCAAAGCATTATCAATCAATATCGACATCACTTATCCATGTCAGAGCCAGACAAAACCAAAAGTAGTATCCAAAAGTGCAAAAAATGATACCGGATGGCGGACTCTCCCGCCGGGAATTGAACCCGGGTCCCGAGCGTACTGTCGATGTAAATGACAAGCTCATATACTAACCACTATACTACGGAAGACTTACAGGTGTTGAAGCACCTGTCGTAGACGTGAGTCGTTTGATGGAAGGAGTCGCGCTTGTAGAAGTATATATGGAGCTCTGATGCGAGGAATGAGTCAGGACGGGATAAGGGCGAGCTGTTGGCTGGCATCGCGGTTGGGGACGGTTTGCGGGTCTGGCTGTTATCAGTCAATAGGAGCGAGCCCCGGATAAGAGGGGAGTCGACGGACAGGATTCTATTCATTTGGTAAGTGGTCTTGATGCCGGTAATGATGTTCAGGGGGGCTTGGGAACACGCAGGATTCACGCCGGAACAGTTAACATATTCGAAGTGCGAGATCATCTCTATTGCTCATTATTATGGAGAAGCCGCCGCCGGCAGTGTACTCGCCATCCACTACTTGGAGCAAGACCGTCAAAGCAGACATATTCCCTAGCTCCAAAATCGCCAGCCATGTGCATGCGGAAGCGCCCTGCCAGGCTGTGTGCCCGTTAACTCCAAACCAAATCCCAAACCTCAATATGGCATCTAACCATCCATCCCCGTCTTCTAACTCCTCCATCTATATCGTCCAGCGACAAAGATCTATTTTACTTCCCCTTCTGCCCATCAAGCCACTCCCTCCAAGCCTTGTACTCCTCATACTCGCACTTCTCCTTCTTCCCCTCGTACCGCACCACCTTGATCCCCATCTCTCTCCACTTGTCCTTCCTGCCCACATAACCCGCCTTCCTCATCAAACTCTGTATCGTCTCCTCCTTGTCCCAGCCCTGCTCGACCGCCACGTCGGGCAGGTACGTAGCCCCGTACCGCCGGCCGTGGTACACGAAGCTTATCCGGATCCCGTGCTTGCCGAGCTCCCAGTCCATCGGATCCGCCGCGTCCTCGAAGTTGGTCAGCAGCGTGACGGCGACTTGCAACTGGGGTAGCTCGCGTAGCGAGATGGGGTCGAAGCGGCTGTCGTGGACGGCGGACGTGATGGCGTAGGAGGACAGGCCGTCGTCCAGCTCGTGCGGCTCGAAGGTGCCGATGCAGCCGCGCAGGACGTGGCCGTGGCGCGGGTGCTTGATGTTCCAGGTCACGAAGAGGGGGGACTCGTCGATCTTCTCTTCGGCGGCTAGAGGGAGGGAGGAGGTGGACGTTGCGGGGGTTGAGACGCCGGATGCTTGCTGTAGAGACGGCGAGCTGGACACGGACGAGGCAGAGGAGGAGGAAGTCGGGGGTACGGGGGATGCGGTGCCGCTCGAGGTGCCGGAGAGGCGCTCTAGGGCTGGGTGGCGCTTGGTGATCGACTTGCTGACGTTGGCGGCTGCTTCGGCGGAGAGAGCTTTGAGGTAAACGGCGTACGAGTCTTCTACTTCTGCGAGGGAGAGGGACTTGCGACCCTCGAGGTGAGAGGCTAGAGCCTCGAAGCAGTAGAAGCAGTGCTCGACGGTCGCCATCTTGTTGGACAAGTAAGGATTTTGTGGTAGTTGTTGTTTCTGGAAGAGCGACGCCCAACTTGACATGTGTAAACGATTGTCAAACGCTCAATGATAGAATCGCGATGTGACAGCGAATGCACGATCTGCGTATTGGAGGTGGTTCCTGCAGCGATCTTGCAGTAATTATGCAGAAATACTGGACGAGCAGGCACGAGTCAATGTTGAGAGGAACCTACTCACAAAGTCATGAGAGGCAATAGGCATGAAAAGCCGGCAGTCCGAATGCACGCACGCACGTCGGGCTGGGGCAATGGAGGGGTGAGCACGAAGGAGGGGTTCCGGTTATCAGCTGAATCAGCTGGCCCGATAAGGCGAGCTGCAGCTGAGAGGCGCTGGTTTCCATCCGAGATATTGCCGGGCCGTTGCCACCTGTCAGAAAGTGCTTGCAGCACTTTTCTGGCGCTAAACTCGATCTGGGACTTTAAGCCTTTTACATTGCTTGAGTCGGGCTTGGTTGCTTTCGTTCAACTTCAGGCTTTATGTACAGGAACTTCAACAACTTCTTTCTAGCGATCATAATGTTCCAATCGCCAGCACCCGATGGACTGGATGGTTCCTGACTAGCAGATGCCATATCTCCGCTAGTCAGCGGCTCTCGATGGCTCATGGTTGTCCATTCTTCACACCACTCATTCTATCATGTTTCAGCCACGTCAGCTGTGTACAACAGGACAAAACGCGCCGTCTCGAGACCGCGAACAACGCAGGGTCCTACCGTCCACTTCGTAATCCCCCTTCCTCTCAAGCACGGACATGGGAATGATCGTACGACTGCCCAAAACGCCCATGTAACGGCAGTGACGCCTTGACGAGAAAGGAGGCTGGACTCACGTTCTGGCCGGGGCGATTACAGGGTTAGGGGACGCTGCCAAGGGCCAGACGTGGCTTTCCGTGCCACCACACCCCTGCTACCCTTGCGGCACCCACATGGCCAGCCGGTACCAGCCGGGCCTAGAACGTCGCTAGGAACAGGCGACACGAGATCCAAGCCGTCCTAGTGGTCCCCGTGTTGCTGCCTCTCTCTGTCGTGCTGGCGTGGTGGACACAATGGATGCTGATCTCGCTTTCCTTCATTCATGTCTTCCTCTCCGCTCCGAGACAACCTAAGGTGTCTCGGGGTATGTTCGCGCTTTCTCGGGCTGACGAGCGTCATGGATGGTGGTGGAGCAGAGCGATGGATGAGGGCGAGGATGTGTGGTTCAAGCGAATCCCGCCGCCTTGATCCCCGTGTCACTGAACCTCAAGGACGTGTGCCTCTCTGTACAGTCCTTACAGTACAGGCACTCCAAAGGTCCAAAAACACCTTGTTGGCACGCTAAAGCCCCTTGTCTAACTTTCAGCGCCCAAGAGACGCACCTTAACGCCCAGCCATGAAATCATGCCACTCCAGCAGCAGCCAGAGGGCCCAGCACTCCCCGGCTATGCTGGGCATCCCGATCGTGGAAAGGCTGATGGTCCATGTCCCTCAGTACCGCCTTAATATCCGGCAGTGAGATCGTCACCTATGGGCAATAAAGTGTAGCTCTCTCTCCGGGCCCAGAACACTGCCGAACGTTGGACTTGTCCAGGGCCGGGTCTGACGGTAGCATGATGGCGCCGCTGTGTCCGTGGGCTTGTCGTCTAAAACTGCCCTCCATCAGTTTCTTTATGCTTTGTCGGGTTTCTCCACGTCTCACGATGCAAGTTGGTGCTTTTGACAGCGAGTACGAGGGTCGTACATTGATGACTTGAGAATGTTTGTCGGCGAAGGGGCCAGAACGTCCGCGACCTCATTGCGCTCCCTTCCAGACATCCTCCATCGATTGAATGGGCAGTATGGGCCACCACAACTTCGTGATCACAGGCATGATCGTCCGCAAACCTACAACTGGACTGCCAGCAAACCTACTTCTCCCAGCAACAAGCCGCGACCATTCCGACACCATGATTCCCCATCACCAACAACACCAACCCAGAACCCGCAACAGAAAGGATCCCAACGGCGCCCCTGCACGGATACCACCCTGTAAGCAGATCCCAGCATCAGACCGGCCTGGCCCTCGTCCATCACCGCGAAGAGGTTGCACCAAGCAATACTGGACCTAACGTCTTCCCTTGTCAAGTTCGAAAGGTTGCATAACGGTCACTGATGCCTTTGCCTCTGACTGGTGGGATTCTGAAGAACAGACTGGAAGGAAAGTTGGTGGTGGGAAGAAACGTACCACGACCACTGGCACGTACTTTTGCCCCCATTTTCGTTCCTTCTTAATGGGCTCACCGACCACCACCCACGCTTTCTAGTTCTGGTCCCTCTTTTACACCTTCTGGCTCAGATGTTTTCCGTCCTCTGTCTGCCAGCTCTGCCAACAACCTCAAGACGTATCCACAATGACGATCATCGGGAAGGTCGCCGTCGTCTTCCCTCGCTGTCTCGAAAGGATGGACCCAATACACTAGCTTGTGTATGCGGTCCGGGCTTCTCAGCCCTAGACACGCACACCATGCATTAGCCGGCTCTACTTTCACCTCGCCCTCTCGCTCTGCCCGGCTCGTCTGACGATGGCTCCTACCGAGGACTGCACACAGGACTACAACAACGACGGGAGACTCATGGTACACTAGAGAACCGACAATGTCCCCCCGGAAGAGGACCGCCAAAAAGCACTGACAGGCCGACGGCGGCGGACACATGAGATGGACACGTCCTCCTTTGAAGCCAGCCTGAACACTTGACCGCAGTACTACTGCCTGGAGACTCAGTGAACGACACATCGCCCATCGTATCTCGTCGTCATCCCTTCGCTCACCCTGTCGACGTCTGACAACCCAAAGTCGAGACCTCGCCTCATCTACAGACACCGGGGCATGGACAAACCCTCGCGCATGGTTCCAACACCAGTGACCAAGTATCCGACAAGAGACCACGACATACCGATTCCAGAGCCCATCGGCGAACACCTGGAGGTCCAGCAAAATGAGAACTCGCGGCAAAGAAACCACAAGGTTCTCGTCACAGGCCTTCATGCGTGGTCCGGACCAGAGGCAGAGAGAAACATCAGTCGCATGGAAAGCAAGCTGCAGAGGACCGACCGGACCTTGGGACCGTGTATCCTACCCGACGACTATCAAGCCTCTTGCCATGGCCCAGCAGTCGGAAGTCTTCAGCAGTAAGACGAGATTCGGACAGATCACGCAAGCGGCAGGGCGTCCAACCTCGCGACACCACGCATCCTATGCAGGCCTTCGACTCAGGGGAATGTATCGTCGATGTCCCGTTGTTTGCATCCCGAGCATGACAATAGTTCCTCTCATTTGGGAAAATGTCCTCTCCGCCCCCGATCTAGTAGCTCAGGCCAGGCGAAGCACCCTCTCAGTGCAGTTGGAAGTCCAACTGGGCCGTGCACTCTGTCGCCTTTCCTTCGTTCAACACCTTCACCTCGTTTCCAAGGACGCAGATTAGGGCAAGTGTCTTCTCAGTTCAGTTCAGTGATGATTCCACTGGTGCGTATATTTCCAATATATATGAAACATTATATCCCTTTCGAAATTATCGTA